ATATTAGTATGTCTCCAACTACCATTTTGCACTCACAAAGTAAATTCTATCACCCATCCACGATGAGGTGCCCATCTTTTTCTGGCATCGAGTATATCGACTATAAGTCGGTATTAGAATAGGTAATAGTTCTCATTTCACCATACCGATCCAACTCAGGCACAACACAATTGGGTGTCTCTGTTGCAATAACATAGTTATGAAATAGTATGATGAGCTATTTAAATAACAAAGATTGTATTATGAACACTGCAACAATTAAATTATTACCAAGAGTTTCGTGTTAATGTTGGTCCTAGTCAGAGTGTGCATCAGTAGCTTGTATGGTGTAGAACTTGGTGCATGTGCGTACTTTCCAACAAGTAAGTTAATACAGTTCGCAAAACTGGTGACAAATTGTGTCTCTTTCCACGTACATGTGATTCTAGTGGTAAGTTCCATGTTGTTTATTAACTCTTGTGCTTCTTCTGACATAACATAGTAAGTTGAGTAGATATACATAAATAAGACTACAAAAAGGACACGTGCGTTGCAACGGGAGTAAAGAATACCACAGGCTCTTAATTTACAAAAAATGGTCTATAATCTGAGTATTTGTAGCTACGGCCCAAACAAAGATGGTCTTTGCCTACAAAAGCGCAAGTTCAAGATTCCACCTGTCTTCTATTTAAACACGGTTTACATATAGATTTAATACATACAAAGAAACAGGGAAGTGATCTTCAATTTTGTCTCCAATCCTGATTTTGTTGAGATGTTCATCCACAATCCGAATCAGTAATAATATGAAAGAAAGATGGATAATAGATGTACTACGGGTTTAATGTCAGAAACATTAGGTTTTGTTCTATAAAATAGTATGACGGACTAAGGATACCTATTTCTTTTATTAGTAGGTATAGATTAGTAACATGTAGGTGCAGATATACACAAGCAGGATTATTTTAAACCAACAAGTAATTGCAAGTATAAATATGCAAGGTGCGTATGTTTGAGAACACTTGCATGGATGCACGATTGGAGCATTGCCCAAATCCACTTTGCTTTTAGGATCATGTGTGCTAATATTGAAGTACAATTGCATACCAACTTAATGTGTATACTTTGGCAAGTATACATAAGCAAGGTACGTATGTTTGAGAACACCTACATGGATGCACGATTGAAACATTGTCCAAATCCACTTTGCTTTTAGGATCATGTGTGCTAATATCAAGGTACAACTTCATACCAACTTAATGTGTATACTTTGGCAAATTCTTCCTAAATCTCTATAGTTTACGAGAGAACAATGAAAAGGAAAGCCATGCTTTTTTTCTAGCTTTGGCTTAATAGTGGTATGTTGAAATGAGAAAATGACTAGCTTCTTCAGAACTTCTTTTTTCTACAAAGCACGGGATGAGTTGTGGAAAACTAAATAAAAAATGAAAGTTACCCTTATAATTCATAAATAACCAATAGTTCCACTAACAAAGGCTTACGTCAACATGTTCATAGATTTAACAATGGCTTACTCTATTTACACATTTTTACTAAAACAACAAAATTAATGCGCAAGAGATCAATATGCCAATTTAGGTATGAACCAAAACTTGCACTATGTGGCACCTTATGTGTTAACAAAATTTTCTCAATGCATCAATGCTACTTTTAGTATCTGTCCTAATTTAGACATGGCTAACTATTCTTAGGTTTTTTCAGAAAGCAACATGATGTATCTAAAAACTGATCAACAATCCTTTATAATTATGAACCAATCATCAAAACTAGTTGCATTTATGTTTACATCAACTACAATGTCCATCCGTTCCATGTAGTCCATAGTCACGACCTCAACAATGACTTAAAGTAATAGATTCCTAGTAGAGTATGTGTATCAACCCAAGTTTTAAACCATATATTTTAAGCATAATTTGCTTTTATTAATTTACTTTGCATTTTCATGTCAACATGTCTTAAAATATTTCACCCCAAATTATTAACATTTCTATTTTCATAGTTGCAGTTTGAACCTCTCTCCTATTTTATTAAATAGCATTTCCATTTCTCAAAATTCATATCCAATTTCAACTCCAAGCTAAGCTTCCAAATTTTATCTACAATTATTTTATCACAATTCTAAGCTCCACCAAAATTTCATAATTTTTGGACACTCCTAGCTCATGCCTCTGTTTCAAATCTATTTGAATTTAATTCGAATAAATTTGAATTCAAACTTTGCCAATTCTATTATCCCTAGATCCGGAATAATTCTTGGAGTCCAAGGAAATTTGCCCCATGCCAAAATTCTATTCCTACCCCTCTCTATTTCCTTTCCTCTTTTCTGGTTTTATTTAAAGAGAGAGGAAAGAAAGGACGCAGCCCACCAAAGGACTTACACTAGCATAGACCTGGCCATGGGCAGCCGGCCCGAACCGACCCGGCCCGCCTTGTCCATGGGCCGGGCTCGGGCCTAGATTTCAAGCCCGACGGCCGGGCCAGACCAGGCCCGGGCTCATCATATTCGCGCATTAACGAAGAGGCTCGAGGCCCAGCGGGCTTTTAGCATCATGGGCCAGGCTCGGGCCCGATTTTTAGCCCCGATGGCCGGGTCGGGCCGACCTCAGGCCTGGATTTTTTGCATCGGGCTTTGGTAGGCCCTGCCTGAAGCCCGGCCCGGCCCAACAGATGGCCAGGTATACCCAAGCTCCATTCACTCACGTGCATGGCCCAATCGCTTTTCCCCATGACCCCACATGGCAGCCTTCCCACTCTAAAGTAAGTGTGGCCTAGCTGACACGCGCGTACCGATTCGCGTCATCGTACAACAAGGTAAAAGGGACACCAGGGGGGAGGGGGAGGGGGTGTGCATGTCCGAATCCATTGCTTCAATGAAGGTAGAAAAAAATTCAAAAAAATAGCATGGACATTTTACCAAATACTTGTCGGGCGTGGTGACCCCACGGACGGCATTTCACAAGGGCATGGTACCTGCACAGCGGTCGGACGAGAGGTGTGAAATGGCGGTGTAGGCAAAGCAGCGTGGCGACCGGGTGGAACGGCGGAGGTTGCAGAGGTCCAGCAAGTGCTTGACGGGCGGTCGGGATGGTACAACGGATGCGTTGGCTAGGGAGGAAGTAGATGCAGAGAAAGGGGAAAGTGATGGAAATACGGGGTTCGGGTGTGGTTTTGTATGGGCAGAGAATGTCGGAGTCCTATGTGGCAACAGTCCGCACTCCCGCAAAACCTTCTAGTTAGTTTTTGACGTGTGGGAAAGCGGACGCATTGACTGATCCACGAATCGATGCGGGATGCCGTTAGATGACAAGTTGCATCCAGACAACATGGTCTGGACACGATTTGAGGGTCCAAAGATGCCCTTAGTTGGCATCCTGTCAGTTCAAGACGGTGAATATCTCACACCACAGGCCTGTAACCGAGGTCTTCAACTGGCAGGTGGCAAAAACATAGCCTCAACAGAGAGAATTGCACACATATGGAGTACATCGAAGCTTAGCACTTCCTCTTGAGTTGAAGTCATGCTTGAGTTCACAGTTTCCATTTCGTTAGGCCCAAGTGCCTCAGTTCACCAGCTCCCTTTTCTGCTAGGCCATGATGTTTCAGTTGGAGAATACTTTGGACAAGTATAAACTAAGTAAACGTGAGGATAAGCTAGACCTTATTTTGGCATTAAGATGTTTTCAAATCGCAAAGGCATATCTTCGCAATCTGCATCAGGTAAGGTGTCTCGCCACACAAATGACAAAACTTTATACTAGTAGAGTGCAAGAACTGCCCACTATTCATATTGAATGGCTCGCAGCACGTAACGTCTGAACTAACATTTGTAATTTACAACCAGACATTTGTTTGGCACGAGAGGTGTTCCAGTGGAAAGTGACAATCAAGCGATCGTTCGACATCAGAGAAAAATCATGAAAAGGATACACGTACGAGCAAGAAGTAGGTGAACACGATCCATCATGCGTATGTGGCTGGCAGTATGGAGATATCTCATTAATTAATTAAGAACGACAAGCAAAAACAAGTGTGAGATGTAGCGTACTTATCAACTGATGACGCTAGATTATACTGTTCGTCTTTGTTCGTCTATGATAGATACTTCCTCCGTCCGAAAATACTTGTCATCAAAATAAATAAAAGGAGATATATCTAGATGTATTTCAATTCTAAATATATTCATTTTTGTCCATTTTGATGACAAGTATTTTCGAATGAAGGGAGTATTAGCTAGCCACGCCGGTGCTATTTGTTCTATTTTCTGGAAACGTCGGGCGTGAACTGCCACTACATGCAGTGCCCTGGCATGTGTCTGGCAGAGGCAAAAATATTCTCACACACAGAACTCTTGAACTGGTGTGGAAGGTAACTTAGACTAGTAAACTGTCTATAATGGGTAGTATCACCAGTTAATATTATGCATATGCTATTAATGTATAATACTATCTTTGTAATGAGTAGTATTGTAGTATTTATTATGATACGATACAATGATAGTAGGATACTCAGTCCTTTTTTTTCCATTTATGCACCTCATCGAAACTGCCTAGTTTACTAAATATGTTATGGTAACATGTTTATGTTACCATACACAACTCTCTTCTTATTAACACTTGCCACGTAAACAAATTTGTCTTGGGATATTTGGGACATGTTACTAGCTAAATTACTCTCATTATGACAGTCTCATCGGCCATCATTTTAATACGCCAGCTTTCAACAGAAGATAGATTCGACTCAACTAAAAGAAAACATAAGATAGATTAAGTGGCACGTGCATGCTGTGCCGGTCAATCAATCCGCCATCTTTTCCTTGCACCAGCTAACCCCTAAACAATCTACTACGTACTTGCTAGAACATACAAAAGGAAGGACATCCAGATCGACCACCAAGAACCATGCCGGAAACTAACAAGTTCACAAAACCATCAAATCCCACGCGAGAAACGATGAGGCGCCGCGTCGTATTTACACTTTTACAGTACACAACGGGTGGATCTTCACGTGGCCTTCACCACCTGATGCTGCCCATAGCCGTGCCGGACGGCACCGGCAGCGGCGCCGCGGTTGTCCTCGACCGGGGCGGCGTTGCTGCCCTTGATGAAGTCGAGGCAGTCCGCGACGGCGCGCGCGTAGAAGGAGTTTGACCGCATGCACGGCGGCCTCCGCGGCTTGGCGCCGTTGCTACCGGCCGCCTGTGATTGTGACACTGCCGGCGGCTGCCCTTTCTTGTTGCCGCCGCCGCTCGTTGACGCGGGAGAGCTGCTGCTGGCGACGAGCCCCCTGGTAAGCTGCGGCAGCCGCACGCCGCGGAAGTAGCGGCCCAGCAGGCCGAGCATGGTCCACAGCCTGGCGCGTAGCCGGCGGACGGAGAGGCGGGTCGGGCTGAGCCGGAACCCCCTCACCGGCCGCCGCCACCGGCGGCCAAGCTTCGCCTGCGAGAAGTACAAGTACTTGATCTCCTGGGCACCCATGGCCACGACCACTGCTCTAGCTTCCCTCTCTCTTGCCTCTAGCTACCACTCGCCACTTGTATACGCTAACTTCGCGCCGATCAACACGTATACACGTACGTAGTACTTGTGAGCTGGGGGCTAGCTCAGCTCCGTTGGTTGGAGGTCAAGTGGCGACCGGAAACGGCGATATATAGGGGGAGGGGCCGGGCAGGGGGAGGAAGACGGCAGGAAGGTTGGTGGGTGGGCTTTGACGAGCGCGAGCCAGCAGTGGAGTGTGGCGCCAGATTTGGGGACATGGCGGGATTGATTAATTGTTGCTTAACTAATGCATGGTGGACAAAGGAGAAAAGCATGTACAGGCCAGGCCAGTGCGCCCTAATGATCGATGGGTTTGTTCGTGCTGTAGAGTCGTACATAATTTTAAAATCTTCTTTCCGAAAGGAAGTAGGTGATCGTGTAGAATGTGAAAGGCGCGCGCCTTCCGTTTCCGCGTAACTGGTTTCCTTGGACGCTCTGCGTGCGGTGGAGGCTCTTTGGTGCGCGCGTGCGTTGCAATGTCTGTAGATTCCACTTCGAGTTCACCAGCTGAAGATGTGGTCAGATCAAAACGACAGCAGCTGGGTTGAAGAAGTTGAACACCACCTGGTTGTTGGGTTCGGTGAGGGTTTGCGTCGTAAACCCAAGTCAAGAATAACTTATATTTACTCAAGGATTTTTGTCAGGCAACCCCACGGCATTCGACCTTAGAAACAGGAATGGATTCGTTGTATTCATGCCGTGGACAGAAACACCCCGGTTACCGAAGATAAAAGTTTGGAATCCAAGCTTGAAAAGGTTGAGATTTCAAGCCTGTTGGCTAATAGGGTTTAAGCCAGCACAAACAAAAAGCATCCAGGTACCTATCAACCTCTCCTCATTTGGCATACAGAGAAAGTGAGGAACAGGGGGTGGAAATTGGTTTGCTTTGTTGAAGACAAGAAAACGGCTAATGATATACCAGTATAGTATAGTCCACAGTCCACATATCGGCCGTAGGAGACAAGAAACATGTGGAAAATTGGCTAGCGCAGTTGTTGACGACAAGGAACAGGCAAATGTTATGCCGTGTGGAAATCTTTGATGGGAGGCTCTAATGAATTGCACAATGTACAATCGGTTTGGTTGTTCTTCAGACTGCAAGGGACAATCCTGCCGCCCAAATTTGAAGTCAACACGGCCAATCTAGACGCAACCCATGCAAGCACATGCACAGTGACAGACATGCGAATCTATTCTTCCTGAATTTTTTTAGGGAGATGCTGGACGTTAGGAACATAATCAAACTTGGTTGGATTCAACTTTCCTCTGATCCCTCTCGCGAGAAGAAAAAAAAAACTTCTAATTCTCTATCTGCCCCATCACTTCGTCGGATTACTATTGAATTTTTGGCCACCGTGGACATAATCCCAAGATCCCTATCAAGCATAACATGATTCTATCAGTGCTATTCAATACACACGGATAGACTTTATTTTTAGGGAAATAAAGATATAGAGTTATTTTAGGGAAACACAGATATACTCCTTCTGTCCTAAAATAAGTGTCTCAACTTTATACTAACTTTAATACAAAATTATATTAGACTTGAGACATTTATTTTGAGACCGAGGGAGTATATTTTTTCAGTTCTTTTTTTTTGAGAATTAGGAAATACAAATATATATCTGCAGTACCTAGTACAAACATTGATTTCTCGGCTCAACATACGACTATGGGCTTTGTGCAGCCTTCATTCTACCAAAAGTTCTTTTTTCTCGGCTGAATAAATGTCAGGGGAATCCTATTTGGCGCTTCAGCGCCCATTAGTATACACTTTGTAAACAGGCACTCACACCA